GTTACCCAACACATTCTAAGGGTAATTTATTTAAATTCCAAGATGGACTTTTCTCTTTGGGATGGCGTGTTTGACTTGCTGAAGCTCACAGAGAAAACAATGATCTATGAATTTATGATAGGGAATAGAGTTGGGTGGTCTGATTAAACCCCCAGAAGGTTAATGAACCTTACTAAGCTTCAGTGCTATTATCCATAAAATATAAATACAAATTCTGAGCTTGTAGAGTTTTAATAGCAGTTAGAAATAAGGTTTGAAAAAACTTAATTCAGTGTCTGGTATATGGCAGGTACTCAATCAATGATAGCTATCTATATCTATCTCTATATCTATATATAGATATAGCTTGATTAAAATCCCCAAAGAAATATAAAATTTATATTTCCCAGCACTTTTGACCACAGAAGCTTGTTATCTAGGTTGGTTGAGTAAAGAGGAAAGTGTGTTCATTTTGGCCCTATTGTTGTTAAATGCTGTCGAGTTGGTTCTGATCCATAGCGGCCCTATATAGGGCTTCTGAGGAGCAGCTGGTGAGCTTGAACTGCTGACCTTGTGGCTTAAACTGACTTTGCAGTCCAGTGCATTAACCCACAGCGCCACACCTAAACTCTATGGAGCAGTTCTATTCTGTAACGCATAGGGTCACCATGAACATTAACTCTATGGTAATGGGTTCGTATTATTGATATTTGGTTTTAAAGAGTATTTCAATAAAGTCTGGAAATATAAGTATGACCTGAATTAGAATAAATTTTGATTGCTAACAACTAAAACTTAGTAACAGTGGAGTCCTGGTGTGGCGCTGTAGAATATGCAATGGACTGCAAGGTCAGTTTGAATCGCAAGGCTGGCAGCTCAAACTCACCAGCTGCTCCTCAGAAACCCTATACCCGTCTCTGTGAGTCAGAACCAATATACAGGGCACTTAACAACAACAACAAGATTTAACAACAAAGGGACTTACTCATACTTGGTGTTTACTTCTTTACCAAGTTTTACCTGTAAAGAGCACTTGCTCTTTACATGTTTACATGGTAATATGTTTGCATTGTTCACTGTGTAGATTATTTCAATAGTGATGAGTTCTGTTCATTCTTAGTCCAAGAGCAGTATACCCAGAATAACTGTTCATTTCTCTTGCTCTGAGAAGTAAAGGGTTACTTGAAAATGGAATCCACAGATACACGTATAAAGGGATAGCACCAACCACCCTCTCAGCCTCAGCAGCTGCTGTGTAAAGAGGGAGGTCTGTTCCTTTTGGCCCAGAAATGATTACTGTCTAATGACTCATTCTTCCACTCGTATTAGAGGCAGCTCTGCAAATACCAGAGAGCAATTTGGTTAGAGGAAATAATTCTGATTGATGACAAGTCTCCTTATTTTGTAGGTGGGGAAATGAGAAAAGACTCTGTCAGGGGAGGGATTAGAACTCAGACCGCTGGAGGCAGGCCGGCCCTTTAGACACATCACTGCACTAAAAGTTTCTGCAGTGAAGAATAGAAATACTGCAGAGCATGGCAATTCTGAACATTTCCAGCAGCTTTAGTCAACTGTTGAGAAAACAACCCTGACCTGTTAACTAAGTGGCTGCTTTGGCAGCTAGGGAGATGTGGATTAGGGAAACCCAACCCCACTCGTGCTTTTGTCATCTTCCCATCACTTGTCCCCATCATTCTGTTTCAGCATCTGTCAGGGCAGCAGGGATGAGCTGTCTCAATGCTGGAGCCGAGGGAGGGGAAGGGAATGAGAGACCTTGATTGATGTCTGTCCTTGTTTGCTTTGGACTCTCACTTGGGGCTTCAGGTGAGCTAGCTTAGCTTTCTTTGCAGGGAGGGTATTTGATCTTGTGCTTTTAAAGGAATTACAAAAAAATTTGAGTAAAGACCTCACTAGGGGGTTGACATTCAATTGATGGGCAGAGTCAATGTCTCTTAGAATAATCCAACACAAGCTCCCCTTCATGGATGGCCTATGCTCATTTAAAAACTCCATTTATTTTTGGACACTACATATTTAGACCTCAAAACAATTCTGCAAGCAGGATAGATTCCTTATTTTCACAAATAAGGAAAGAAAGACTCAAAGAAACCAGTGAGAAATAGATACGGGATCTGAACGTAGGTCTTCTCAATTCTATGATTACAGGCTTTCTGTTAGATCACAGCTTCTTTATTTTTGTGTAGCCATTTTATAATTTTCAAAGAACTTTCCCTTAGATTATATCCTGTGAGGTTCACCATAACCCATGAGTTTGGAAGGTATTTGACAGAAAAGAACACAGTCTTAGTCTGAATCAGGGTCTGAGGTCACCCAACCCAGTGCCGCCCCTGCAGGAAGGAGGGTGTTGTTGTTAAATGCCATCAAGTTGGTTCTGACCCATAGCAACCCTGTATAGGGCTTCCAAGGAGCGGCTGATGAGCTTGAACCACTGACCTTGTGGTTCAAACTGACTTTGCAGTCTAGCACATTAACCTGCCAGACTAGCTCTGGTAGCGTACTGGTTACCAGTCAGGCTGCTAACCTCAAGGTAAGCAGTTTGAAACTATCAATGGTTCTGCGGGAGAAAGATTAAGTTTTCTGCTCACATAAAGATTTACAACCTCAGAAACCCTATACAGCGCCACTATGAGTCAGAACTGACTCCATGGCACACCAGCAACACCACCACTGCATTAACCCACATTGCCACTCTAAGACTCCCAAGCTCATTATTTCTCACTTGTTTTTGATTTCTTCCTCCCAGCAGCCTTTGCTGAGTTTCCCAGGGGTATAAATCATCCTGAGAACAGCCAGGGCCAGACATGCCTTTTCCCTTTCCCTTTGTTCCCAAACAAAGTACCAGTAGCAGTTAAGAGTACTTACTAAGCACGAAGCATGGTTGTAAACATTTTACATTTATTTAGCTTTATTAATACTCACAATAACCCCATAAAAATACTTGATATTATTACCTGATTTTAGAGCGGAGGAAACTGAAACACATAAAAGCTAGGTAATCTATCCAAGTGACGCTGTAGGTTAATGTACTGGACTGCAAAATCAGTTTGAGTCACAAGGTCGGCAGTTCAAGCGCACCAGCTGCTCCTTGGAAACTCTGTAATAAGTCCTATAGACTGGGTCAGAACCAACTTGATGGCACTTAACAACAACAACAATAGTTAGTGAGCAGGGATTCTAACCAGGCAGAGTAGAGAATTTAGAATTAACTGCAGGGCACTGGAATCTAGATGGCTTGAGGTTCTTCAAGGTCTTTTAGATCAATCCTGTGTCGCTGACTGGCTTGTCCAAAAACCATCTCATTCTCAAGGTTCTAGGACTAATCCCTTTTGTTCCTGTCATAGTTGTGAAAGCTCATATGTGGGAAACAGTTGGAGAATTCACTCTTCTCAGGTGTGATGTGGCGGTGGGTTTGGCCTGGGGATGAAAGGCAGTGGAACTCTTGGCAGTTAGAATAATTATTCGGAAGTTAGAGCAGTAACTCATAAGTCGACCTGGTTCTACCATCAAGAGTCTTCCATTCTCTTCTCACTTCCCACCCCTAGATCCAACTGGAAAGCCCTTGGTCTGGATCAGGACTTACCCGACTTTCAGAATCATTAGGACTATCTGGAGGACTTTATTAAAACTATAGATAGTCTAACTTCTCTCCTGGAGATTTTCATTCTATAGGACTAGCATGGGACCTGGGTTTAGAGACCAGTCATTACTCAGTGTTTGTGATGTGCTTTCCATGTGCTAGATGTTGAAGATTCAGAATGAATAGGACTCAACCTTTTCCTTCACAGAGCTTAGAGCTTAGATGGGATACTGACAAATAGGCAGGTAAGTATATTCTTTTGCATGTGGTGCCATAGGATACACACTCAACTGCAAGGTTGGTTTGAACTGCAACGTCTGTGGTTCAAACTCACCAGTCACTTCTTGGAAACAGGGTAACTATGACTCAGAACTGACTTGATGACACTTAATAACACCAATGGGAAAGTGTCAGTGTGTAGTAGGAAAACAAAGAGGGGTCTCTTACCTAGGCCAGGGGGTGAAAGAAGAGGAGATCCAAAGGCCACCAGATCTGAGTTGGGACCACAGCACCAACTCCCATCCTAAGAAGAAAGGGTTCCTTAAGTTTACTCAGCCAGACAGTTGGTCCCCGTTTTCTTTCACCTCTCACTAATGGATCCCCAAATCACCTATTGTTGATATGGGATGGTGGGTGGAGGGTCAGATACTTCTTGTTTGCATATGTCTCCTTTCTCTCCTCAAGTCTCATACTTGTTGGATATACATTGTGACTATAGATTCTTCTCCTGGTCAGACAGTTTATCTCCACTTTAGTTTATTTTCCATAAGTGGAAGTTTCCAGCTCAAACTCCATGCCTCTGGGAGAGACTGAGGTGGCGGCAGGGTGGGCACTGTTGTGTCAGTGTATTCCCCTCCTTCTGCACTCTAGATCCTTCTCTGGATACTTCTTTGAAGTTGAGACATGCTGCTGGAAGCCAATGCCCAAGGTGGAAGAAACAACTTGGCTATTGCCTGAGTCTATGGGCACACTGGCACTGCAGGGAAGACCCAGCCTGATTGGACGAGGTTATCTATGTCATGGCGCTTGGTGATTCCTAGCCCAAGATGTCTAAACTAACTTCAACCTGCTGTACCAAGTGTTGCCTGCATTTCCTAAGACCCTTGAGGAAATCATATGAAGGGAGGGAGTAAAGTTCCTTTCTTTTGTTAACCGAGGTAAGTTTGGGTGATTAAGCTAAGAAAGCAAAGCCACTTTGGTCCACAGGATTATCTTTGAGGTGTGTTGGGAATCTAGAAGTAACTTATTGCCTGGGAGGCAAACCAAACCCAAGATGACTCTCAGCTAATTGCTTGCTTCTCCTTGCACCAAGCCAAACTCCTTGGTATATAAAGGCTTGTCTCCTCTGTCATCCCCATCCTCTGGCTTCACTCTTCTTAGCTCTTGCTAAGTGATCTCTAGCTCACCTTCAAGCTTTCTCACCATGAACAGACAAGTCTGCAAGAAATCTTTCAGCAGTGGGAGCCAGGGCTTCTCTGGTCGCTCCGCTGTGGTCTCTGGTAGCAGCAGGATGAGCTGTGTGGCCCGCTCTAGGGGGGGCAGTGGAGGAGCCTGTGGGTCCCGAAGTGGAGCAGGTGGCTTTGGCAGCCACAGCCTCTATAACCTGGGTGGCAGTAAGAGCATTTCTTGCAGTGTTGCAGGCAGTGGCTTTGGTGGAGGGCGCAGCAGCTATGGCAGTGGTTTTGGGGGTCGCTATGGAGGTGGTATTGGTGGTGGCTTTGGTGGAGGCAGAGGAGTAGGAGGGGGCTTTGGAGGAGCTGGTGGTTTTGGAGGAGCTGGTGGCTTTGGAAGAGTTGGTGGCTTTGGTGGTCCTGGTGGCTTTGGTGGCCCTGGTGGCTTTGGTGGTCCTGGTGGATTTGGCCCTGGTGCCTTCCCTGGAGGAATCCAAGAAGTGACTGTCAACCAGAGTCTCCTGCAGCCCTTAAATGTGGAAATCGATCCCCAGATTGGGCAAGTAAAGTCCCAGGAGCGGGAGCAGATCAAGACCCTCAACAACAAGTTTGCCTCCTTCATCGACAAGGTGAGATAAAGAGGTGTTCTGGAGGGTTTGGGCTGTACAAGAAGTTGTTATAGGAAGATGCCAGTGAAACTTGGCCTTCTTTGAGGTAGGGGTGACTGGATCATGGCCTTGTTCTACCTTAATCCCTGAAGGATAATGATCACTCTCCTCTTTGGGCTGTGTTTTCCCAGTTGTGAAATGGAGGGAGAGTTCCTGCTCAGGATAGGTAGTACCAGTACTATTGAGGGAAGTATCTCTTAGCTTTTTTGAAGAATGGGGCTTTAGCCATGAAATTATTAGTTACCTTAATTGCTTGGTAATCTAAACTAGTTGTAATGAAACTTGAATTAGCACATACCTTGGGGATGCCAACTAACTTGCCACTGAGTGATGCTGTGCTTCAGCTGATACCAAACTGAGCCTTCCATGTTGAGATAGAGAAGGATGTTCTAGGTCTATTGGGAGAATGAGACAAGGATTCAAAATTCTCCTGGGTCAGTTGCAATTCAAAAAATTGAAATGGGTTTTTATATGAGACACATCTAAGGAAAAGTTAGACCCATTTGACTGTTTTTGTGGGGATGGGAAAAAAATAAGTTTTATGTTGATCTTTTTTAGTAATAGACTGAGGTTTCCAGGAGAATGACAGCAGACTTAGTTTGACTCTTAGCTTTGTTACTCAGTAGCCATCTGACTATGGGTAATTTACTTAAAGTCTTTGAGCCTCAGTTTTCATATCTACAAAAAGGGGATAAGAACACCTCCTTCACAGGTGGTTGTGAGGATTAAATGAATAGAATATGTGAAAAGAGCTTATATAGAGTAAGTACCCAACAAATTCTAAGGTGCTCTGGTAGCGTAGTAGGTTACAAGTTGGGCTGCTAACCACAAGGTCAGCAGTTCAAATCTACCAGCTGTTCTGCAGAAGAAAGATGAGACTTTCTGCTCCTATGAAGGTTTATAGCCTCAGAAACCCTATACAGAGTAGCTATATATAAACACCACCACCACTAAACAAACTCTAGTTCTCCCCATTCTAAATTCTCATCCTCCCCAAATTCCATGAAACAAAGACTACTGCAGACAAAAGGGGTGGGTTTATTGCCCTTTGGGAAGAGGGGCACCTGCTCAGCCCACCTCAAGTGGCCCACTCCTTTTCTTGCCTTCCTGGATGCAGGTGCGGTTCCTGGAGCAGCAGAACAAAGTCCTGGAGACCAAGTGGAACCTACTCCAGCAGCAGACCACAGGCTCCATCTCAGGCTCCAACAACCTGGAGCCTTTCTTTGAATCCTACATCAGCCACCTGCGCAGGAAGTTGGATTTGCTTCTGGGAGAAAGAGGGAACCTGGATGGAGAGCTGAAGACTATGCAGGACCTGGTAGAAGACTTCAAAAAGAAGTGAGGTCCCCAACTGGGGATTTCTCTTTTTGGGGAATTAGCAGGGAGGCATGGTTTCCAATTTGGAAATTCAACTGTTTTTGATGGCACCTTCAGTCAGTACTCTCGGATGAATTTGAATGAAGCAGGACCAAGCAGAAGGGGATGAGAGGGTGGTGACTGAGACTCCTAGGTGGCTACCTATTATGTGTTTTCCAGTCTCTGACTATAGGCAGGGTCCCTCCGATACCGGTGCAGAATGACAAAAGAATCTCTCAGTGTTTAAAGCTGTTTGGGGGTGGGGAGCCTGCTGCGTTTTATATATATATATATATATGAATCACTTTGGAAGTTTGTGAAAAATGCCTATTCTTGCATGGTAGTCCTATATATTCTGAACCAGTAGGTGTGGGGCAGGTTGGAATCTTAGTAATCAACAGTTACTAGGGATTCTGGGAAGACGGTCCAGGACTGCAATTGATAAAGTTTCCTTTCAATGTGTCCTGTAACTTCAGGCAGTCCGTTCTTACATTGTTCAGAGCTGTAGTTTACACTACCTGTGTGAGGGGTAAACTACATATCTCAAGGTGGGGCGAGGCCCAGGCATTTCCAAGGACCGGGACCCAAAGGGATGGGCATACCTGCTTTGGGGAGGTTGTCTCAGCCACCCTTCCCGGAGGCTCCATTCCAACTCAATTCCACAAACCCTGGTGGGCAACTACTCTATGGTAGGCCCAGCGCTGAGTGCTGGGGATTCATTGACAACTCAGATTCACGTTTACAGAAATCTCTTGTCTGTTAGAACCATCCCAATTCTTCAGTTTTTATAAAATTAAAAATCTCGGTGGGAGATTTTAGTCATTAGCAGGCAGGAATCTTACAGTCCTGATGCTCTCAGAAAACCTGAGCTCATTCTCACCCTAAATTCCTATAGAAAAAATGTCAGGTTCCATCAACTATTTCTCTGGATCCCATACATGCACTTTATATTTTGTGAAGTGGATCCAAGAGCCCAGATGAGTAATCAGGCTCCTTAAAGTCTCTCTCCACATCTACCTGTCTGCCACACCTCAACCCACCACCCAAAATTGTTGTTGTTAAGTGCTGTTAAGTCAGTTCTGACTCAAAGTGATACTGCATAGGGTTTCCAAGAAGCGGCTGGTGAGTTTGAACAGCTGACCTCTGGTTCAAATGATCTTTAGGTCCACTGCTTTATCCTACAGCGCCACACCAGGACTCAAACTCAGATAAGCGTAAAGCACTGCCCTGAGCTCTGAAAGGGTGTGGGCATGGCCCACTGCAAAATGAAAACACAAAAATTGTTCCAAAATTCAGAATTTCAAGATGGTGGCAACCAAGCATTAAACCAAGTTTGAGGATATTCTGAGTGCAAGGCCTGGGCAATTGTGTAGCCCATACACCTGGGAAACTGGTCTTATCTCTGGGTGAGGGGATTCTGCATGAGTACTTGGGAATCCTCATCTCTTGTTTCTACTTCTGAAATGTCTCTGTCAAAATGTGTTCTCTTTCTGTTCCAGGTATGAAGATGAGATCAACAAACGCACAGCAGCAGAGAATGAATTTGTGGGGCTCAAGAAGGTAGGTGAATTGGCATGGGTGGATCCAGACTCCCTTTCTGGAGGCTGCCCCCTGGGAGAAGGGTGTTTCTTTGCATTTTTGGAAATGGGGTGTTTGATGAGGGAATGTGACTAGTAAAATGATTAGTCATGTGAAACAAATCATGAGTGTTTTATATATACCTAGCATTAATCAAGGTTTTCAGACTACAAATGTACCCTAGAGGTAACAAAAAAATCTGTCATTTCAAAAATACTCACATGTACAGTTCAATGATACTACATATGCCCATCATGTTGTTCAACCATCACCATCCCTGGAATTTTCCATCATCTTTAACAGAAATTCAGTGTCCCCTAAATGTCTTCCTTTCCCCCTCTCTTACTGGGTGTTATTACTACTAATCAGCAATACTTGTAGGTTGTTTAAACAATCATTCTAAAGATGATGTAGAAGGAAGAATACACTCTCTTCTATTCAGGAGGTTGGGCCTTTGGTACTACATAAAAATGATGGTTACTTTGTACCTGGCTCATATGGTTTGTATTTTGTTAAAGCGCTGGGGTTTGATTGGATGATGCAGTTGAATGGAAGATAACCACTTTGCTTTTCTTTCTTTACAAAGGGGAGGGAAAGTGAGAAGCCACACTTGAAGGAGGCAGAAACAGTCATGACAGTGAAAGGGTATAGAGGAAAGGTGAAGACTTAGGAAGATTCATGGGCAGGAGGGGAAGAAAGGGTCATTTTGAGTTTCCAACCTTCCTCCAGGACGTAGATGCGGCTTACATGATTAAGGTAGACCTGCAGGCCCGCACGGACAGCCTTACAGATGAAATCAACTTCCTGAGGACCCTCTATGAAATGGTGAGTTCTTGCTTGGCCCATTCCGCCCTCTTCCTGTCTGTACCTGTCCAAGCATAACTTTAGGAGAGGGTCAAGCAGCAGGACACTCACACAGCCAACAACAGGATGGTGAACTCAGTTCTCCCCTACTTAGGAAATGCTAACTTAGCTCCTCAGCCTGCACAGACCTGACCCACAATCCTCCAGGGTGCCTCTCTGCTCTCTTTACTTACCCTTCGCTGTCAGCCCTCTTTGTTCTTTGCCTTCTCTCTGGCACCCATACCACCATCACAACTTGCTCCTTCATAATACTTACTGCAGTCCCATGGAAACCCATGCAAAAGCGTCACAACCTGATTATAAAGCTGTGCTTTCCCTTTGTCTTCTTGTCTAGCTCCTTTTGGGCTGCAGCAGCCTTAATTTTCTAACTGTTCCATTTGTGGTCTCATTCCTGGGGTATCTCTGCCAGTAGAGGATCTGGGAACTTCTTCATCCCCAGCATCCCTTAGGACCAGTGGCATGGTGAGTATGATCATCCATGTTTCCTGCAGGAGCTCTCCCAGATGCAGAGTCATGTCAGCGACACGTCTGTAGTGCTGTCAATGGACAACAACCGCTGCTTGGATCTGGACAGCATCATTGCTGAGGTCAAGGCTCAGTATGAGGAGATAGCACAGAAGAGCAAGATTGAGGCTGAGTCTCTGTACCAGACCAAGGTGGGAGCCCACTCTTTATCCCCATACTCTAGAGTAAGACATTTTAAGTCCTGATCACCTTCCTAGAGAGTGTGCCAACACTTTGCAAAGCCATGCTGATGGAGTTCTTCTTTGTCAGCTTGGGGAACTACAGACCACAGCTGGCAGACATGGTGATGACCTGAGGAACACCAAGAGCGAGATCATGGAGCTCAACAGGATGATCCAGAGGCTACAGGCGGAGATCGAGAATGTCAAGAAGCAGGCGAGTTAAGGCTTTATAGAATGAACTTGGAGGTCTTCTGGGCCACTGGGAGAAGCAACAACAGCTGAGTGTATCTACCACATACTTTTTCTATCATTTTGTAGTGTCATACATGGGATAGCACAGTCTCTGAAAACCTTTCCCCTCCTAGATGTTCCATTAGTCCTAATTTAGTCCCTAATGCTAAATAGTCCCTAAGGAGAGATGATTGCTCACTCTGGCTTGCCTAGTAAACACTCAGCTCTGAGCAGGATCTGACCTCAGATGAGCTATTTATCACACTCTTTATATAATCTCCATGGCTGATTGGTACCACTGGAATAAAATAACTAAACAAGGACTTTAAAATTCAATCTTGCTAGAAAGATCAGAGATTACAAGATCACTGCTGACATTACCAGTCTAAGAAAGCAAACCAGTGTTCTTTTCTTTGATGAGACAAGAATTAATTTCATTGGGCCCGAGATGAGTGTATGACCTCATTGCAAAATTGACTCCTGTTTTCTGAGTATGCTCTATTGGGGTTTCTAAGGAAGAGGAGGGAGGGGTGCTGAATGGGGAAGACCTCTCCTCCCTCAGGAAAGATCAGAGGATTATTTCCAGGTCATTATGCTAATTGGTTTCCTACCTCCCCCACCCCAGAATGCCAATCTCCAAGCAGCCATTGCGGAAGCTGAGCAGCGTGGGGAGTTGGCCCTCAAGGATGCCAATGGCAAGCTCCAAAGCCTGCAGGCCGCCTTGCAGCAGGCCAAGGATGACCTGGCTCGGCTGTTGCGTGACTACCAGGAGCTCATGAACGTCAAGCTGGCCCTGGATGTGGAGATTGCTACCTACCGCAAACTGCTAGAAGGCGAGGAGTGCAGGTGAGGGCCCCCAGGGCCTGCATTTTCCAGATATGGTTTTATAGTGACTTTTGATTGAGAGCAAGATGATTTCAAGGAGAGGACAACTTAGTCCAAGGGCAAGGAGTCTCCTGAAAGAGTATCAAAGTTTCAAGCTCCATATTTTTTGCTAACCAAGTTCATTCAATTCTCATCTTCATCATGAATATCATCAGTATTGTATTATACCTCTACTGATCCTCACCATGTGCAACATCCTAGGAAAAGTGCATTGGGGCTCTGACAAAAGTTATAGACAAGAGCTGTCCACTGGAACTTTGAGATGAAAATGTTCTATATCTGTGCTGCTAAATACAGTAGCCATTAGCCACTTGAGCACTTGAAATGTGGCTAGTGAATTTTAAATTTAATTTTAATTTAAGTAGCCTCATGTAGTTAGTGATGACCATATTGGATAACTCAGTATAGACAGTTTGCAACCTTCCACTCTTAAAATTGTTTCCATGTGGAGAGGTGACTTTTAAATACATACTCTTGAAAAAATGATGTGACTTCCACAAATATGTCCCCTCAGCTAGTTGGCTTATTGCAAAAATAATTCTCGTCTCTTTCTCTTCTTCTTTAGAATGTCTGGAGAATATCAGAATGCTGTGAGCATTTGTAAGTAATTCATTCAAGAACTTTCTCCCAGGGTTGTGAAGGGGCACTTAGGAACACCCTCACTGACTAACTTTCAGGCAGGAGGGCTTGATCATCCACAGGAGGCCAAGTTGTGGCCACATTATGCCTCTCGGGTATGCTGGCAGCCTCTCAGCCCCTAATTAAAGGGCTGCAGTCTTGGGGAGCTCACTAGGTTGAAGAAAAAGAAATTTTGGTGGTCATTCCTGGCTTCTGTTTTAGGGCCTGGACACTCTTGTGGTTTACAAACAGTCTGTAAAGAAGTTGAGTGTCTTCCTTTAAGCCCCACAGCTCTTAGGAGAGAGTTGGGATATAAACGCAGGCCTCTGCTTCCCCAGCCCTTAGCCTGACTTGGTTGCTTTTTCTCTGTAGCAGTGGTCAACAATGTCACCAGTACCAGCAGCAGCTCTGGCAGTAGCCGTGGAGGCTTCGGTGGGATCAGCGGCAGCAGTAGTGGGAGTTACAGGGGCAACAGCAGCGGCAGCAGAGGCGGCAGCAGTGGCTACGGAGGAGCTGGCTGTGGCAGCAGCAGTGGAGGCCGAGGCAGCAGCGGGAGTTACCACCAGAGTGGCAGCAGTGGGGGCTATCACAGTGGAAGCAGCGGAAGCAGGCTTGGTGGAGGAAGCAGCAGCTCCATGGGCCAAAGTGGAATTGGCTCCAGCTCTGGTGGCATCCAGACCGCTGGATGCAGTGGCTACAGGTCTGGCAGTGGAAGCAGCACCAGTGTCCGCTTCTCCCAGACCACCAGCTCCAGGCAGCACTGCTCCAAGTGATCTTCTGGGCCAAATCTCTCCTCACACTTGCTTCTCTCTTGGCTGCACCAGAGTGTCCCACTCTCTGCCTGACGTCAGCAAATGCACACAGTCCAACCTCAAGTTTTCCTCAAGTTTCCTGAAGAAAGGGCTGACCTCCTGACTCTTCCATATTCCAGACCTCTCCGGCACCAAGTCTGGGATGACGGTGCCCCTGGATGAGCCCCTGCAATGGCTCCTGACTTTGGACAGCAACATCAGAGTCTAACCTAGTCTAGGCCTTCCCAGCCTGGCTCATTCTTACTGTGGACCAATTTCCTCTCTCACCAAGAGTTACGGTTGGAAGCTGGCACTTTTCAGCACTGCCTGAGGAGGGCAGTAGAGAGGGGTCAACGATGGAGGGTGCGTTAGTCAAGCTCTTTAGTTGGTTTCCAGGGTGCCCTCTCCTCATCTGGGTTTTGCATCCTGACTCATCTCTGACTTTTAATTCTTTGAGCTTTGAAGCTTCCTTGGTGGTGAGGATATTGCACTTTTTTTTTTTCTCAATAAATTGCACCGTATTTCACATTTGGTGTTTGGCTTTCATTCAAGGAGTCAGTGGAACAAACCACTGACTCAAAGACACTTAACAACAACAGGAGTAGAGAAAGACCAGGTAGGGGTGGTGATCTTTCAGAAGTTCAGTAGTGGGTATAGAAGCCGGATAGTCTTGGCTTCTACTTTATCCATTTAATTGGGTTGTTGTGATAGGTCTGTCCAAGGGCATTTATGGCTTTAAATGGAGACCTTCCCCAGGAAGTAAGTCATCTGATCTGTCCTCCTGACTCTGAGCATGAGGGCCTTTCGCCACTGGGATGGTGGCTCCTTTGCTTTACCCCTGCCTTATTCAGTCATAGAGCAAATTCTCTTTCTGCAAACACTGTTCCTGGGATTTAAAAGGTCATTATATAAAAAGTCTCTCTTCGTTGCCCAGGCTCTAAACAAGAGATAAAAAATTAAGACAAATGAGGAACCAAAATATTGTCTTTATTACAAACAAAGCAGATGCTAGAGAACATGGCTTGTGCCTTAGGTAGAATGGGTTTCCTATTCCAGGGCCCAAGGATTAGGGCAGATTTCCCACCTATACAGAGGTAGAATGGGGCCACCGCAGCCTTCCCTATGGGGTCAGAGCTCTCATAGTTGATAGGAGACAGGACACACGCTTGCTAGAACACAGCCAGACCCTAAGCCATGGAATGTCAGAGCTCTGCATGCTTAGTTCCTCCTTTTAAACTCACCAATCACATATGAAACAGAGTGGGAAGGTTACAATAGTGAAGATGTGTTTAAAATTAGGAATGGAGAAATATTCCATTCCTTATATCAGCATTTCCCAGTTATCCTCCGAAGCTGAAACTCAAACCCAGGGAGGACAAGGGTAATGAGTCAGCCACTGAGATGTCAGAGAAACAAAACTTCAGTAGACAAGACAGTGATAGTCTCTGTTCCTTTCCTCATCCCTTGAACAGATCCCAACTGTGCACCTTTGATCATGGTAAGATATGGTTTGGAAATCACTGTAGACCATATATTGCCTTCCAGAAGTCGGATCAGGCTGTACTAATGAGAGGGCTTTTGATTTGTCTGTCTGATGGTCCTTCATGCTCTTGAGCCCAAGATGGGCCTATCCCCTACTAGTTCACCCATTTGATCTCCGGAGTCTAGCAACCATGGTATCAAGACTCTGAGGAGACATTTGAAAATTCCTACACTAGCACCTTCAATAAATTCTTGCCCACCTTTTCAAGGCCTACAGCAGGAGGTAGCTACTTTCCCTATTTGGGAACAGAGGCAGGCAGTTCATTATTGCTGATCTTACTTGCCTTTTAGAGACATTGAAAGAAACCTTACCAATGTATGCAAAGAAAACTGCCTACTTTCTTGGCTCAATGTGTTGCCTACTTATTATGAAGAGGTTGACCTGTCCTGATTTAGCCCAACTGCTCATTCGATTGAGGTGACAGGGCTAGAGATGGTTCTTTAATCTCTTTATCTATTTGGGTGATTATGGAAAGCTCTGTCTTGGGCACTGTCTCAGGCTCTGTACAGCGTGTAGGGTGCTCAATGAAAGTTTGGTGGTCATCTGAAAGACTGAGTGGAGGTGAATAAAGACAGCTATCCTCAGTCTGAAAGGAAGATGGGATTGCTCACATGTCAAGGCAGGACTGAGCTGAAAGTTGGCAACGAGGATCCAGAAAACTGTTGTGAAGAGGGATGGTGGAGGTGGTGAGAGACTGAAGGAAACTTGGATTTAAGTCATTATGAAAGGCGTGCTGGAGAGGAAAGCAGGCTAGGAAGGAAAGAGAGTCTGTACAACACATAGGAAGGGCAAGGGAGTAAGGTTCAGGCTTCCAGGGCAAATCCTATGAGAACTGTAGGACAGCCTGGGTTGCCTCCAGGGTAAGAGTATTATGTCTGAGGTCAGGATAAGGGACAGGGAAGAATAGATTATGCTTAAGTCTTTGGTAATCAGATGTTGTTGTTGTTAGGTGCCGTGGAGTCAGTTCTGAATCATAGCGACCCTGTACAGGATTTCCAAGGCTGTAATCTTTATGCGGAACAGCTCGTAGTTTGGAACTGCTGACCTTGCGGTTTGCAGCCCAATTTGTAATCACTATGCTACCAAAGCTCCTTTTTATCAGATACTCCTGAGCTTTTTGAGTCTTTTAAGTTCTTTAAATTCATCTTCCACTTCAAGATAGAATAGGGGAAGGGTGGCAGCAGCTAGGGTAGATAGAATGTTCAGAATGGTCAGGGAGTGGACAAGGGTCTTTCTAAATTGATACTTGAAATAGAAATCCTTCCATTTTTTTTTTCTTTAGGATTAAACACAAATATAGAATGATATTATTTGGTAAATTTCTTCCCAACTAGACTGTGAACTCTTTGAGGGCAGAAATGATGTCTGCTGTGTTCTCTGTTCTATCCCTAGTGTCCAGTGCAACATCAGGAAAATGGTAGACACTCAATGTATTTTTTTGAATGGCTAGATGAATAAATTCTATAACCACAAATAAGGAGCTCTGGTAGCGTAGTGGTTATGAATCAGGCTGCGAACTGCAAGGTCAGCAGTTCAAAACTACCAGCTGCTCCATGGGAGAAAGATGAGGCTTTCTGCTCCCGTAAAGATTTACAGCCTCGGAAACCCTGTACAGGGTCGCTGTGGGTCAGAACCAACTCAATGGCACTTAACAACAACAACAATAACCACTAATACAGATGGAGATCATTAGTTTTTCAGTAATGATTCTTATCCTTACAAAACAAAAATCAAAGGTACACGTTGATAATTAAACTACTGTGTTGCTCTCTCTTTTAACATGTCAGAAATATTCTACCAAATGCTTTACTTCACCAAAATCAGATAGGTGATGTTTAAAACTTCCTCCTCTTACTAATGCTGAACTAGACCAGTGGAACACATGTCTTGGTAGGAGAGATTTGGACAAGAAGATTATAGCTAGAATTGCAGAGCTTAAATAATCACATTTTTACTAAACTTACTTTCTCCTTGTCTAAAAACCTAGTAAACTGATTTATATAGAATGATTTTAAGCAAACCTACACAAACACACTTAAAATATGCTATGAGACAAGAATATATTTTCTTCTATTTCCAACACAAGATTTATATTCAATGGAATCCAGTAAGTATGAGTAATTTGTCTTTGTAGTTCAGCCGACTACAAAAAGTACATACCATTTAATACCTGAAGTGGATAACCGTGCAAGTTCTAAGATTAGATCCAGAGATTAATCTGAGTATATTTTTTCCAAAGATGATGATTTAAAACAGTAGGACTACGCAAGGAGTAGCAGATGATAGTAGTAAAGGAATGGCAAACCAAGTCTAGATGCTCTTTTTCACATGTAGCTTTTGGGTAAAGCACACCTCTTTCAGTTCCCTCAGCCAAAATCAGCCCTCATTTTCCCATAGCGGTGGGCAGACAGTAGGAGATTCATAAGTCTCAAGACAGGGGCAACTGATTTGATTAAGACCCTAGAAAAACACTCTCTATAGAAAAAAAATCTCACACAGATGGGCCATCGCGATTGAAGGATTGAAACTCTTACCAAGTGAGAGTTTGTGAGTCTGCCTGCGGTAATTGCGGACAGAGAATCGGGATGGTGGTAGTCCATATTGACACAGGAACATACATGTTGGGATAAGGGGCCTTCCAGGTGGAATGCTAGATATTGCCTTTGGCAAGAGTAGTATGACTCTCAGTAGCCCCTGGGAGAGGCGTCTACTCTGGCAGGATTGCTAGTATTAGGAATACCAAGAGGCGATGCAGGAGCAGCAGAGGTCTCAGGAGGGCTAGGCCATTATTTTTCTGATCCACCAAAACTTAACATTATTGAAGACTTAGAATAGAGTCTGTGTTTCTAAGATGTATTCTCCTGTCATCATTAGCAGAAATCTCTTTTGACTTATTGCAGGCAATGCTCAGAAACAGTCATTGCCTGGAGCGGGGAGCTAATTAGCTGCAGAACATTCTGGGAAGCTGGCAGGGAAGATGATTTGTGTAACGAAGTCACCACTAAATCACTGCTCAAATCCAGTCCCCGGCCTTCTTTTTCTGCTTTGTAGTTCAGAAACATTTCTTTAAATGCCAGAAAATCCATAAACGTGAGCAGCATGTCGAATATATCGTCAGTCACCTCATCTTTATGGTGCTTTAATGTTGTTGTGAAAGCTGCCATGTTGAATCCGGAAATCCGCTCCAGCTGTTGATCCTCAATGTACTTTTCTACCAAAGAAAGGTACTCATTAAAAATGGGCATGTAGGCGAGTTTATTCTCTTCTGTGTCTTTAAACTCCTGGTAGTATTTGTCCGTGAAACTTCTCTGCAACACTTGGAACTCGTCGTCCATGATAATGTCCTCTATGTTTTCAAGCACGGCATCAAATCCTGCATCAGAGTTTGAAGAGATGGAGAGCGCAATGTTCTCTTCTTCTGAGGATTCTGCCACTTCCC